TACCATAATTAAGAATTAATAAACTGAAAAATTACTATAATTAATTAATAAAATTTATTATAAAAAAAAACATTAAAATTTTTTAAATAAATTGCATAAATCAAAATATAAAATTAAAATTTTAAGTCAATTACATATAATTTTACAGGTTAAAGAGACTCTAACTCTAAAATTACTAATAAATATTATATTGTCCTAAAATTCATAGTCAACCGAACTTTAGATATAAAATTCTATAGAAAAATCTATTGACTTAAATTATCATAGTTAAACTAACTTATAAAATAAAAATAAAAATAAAATTTAGTAATAAAAAAGGGCAAAAATTAAATTGTGTTGGTGATGTAAAATTTACAAATTCAAAGAAATGTAAGAAAAAATATATTGTACATACCAATAGTCAACCAAGCTTGAGTATTAAAATACCATGACAAACTGATAGCATTAAAAATTTCAAATGGTTAACTTGAAAGTATTAAATTATTAATATTAATAAATATTATTATAACTTGATTTTATCTTTTTTCTTGTAAATACAGACAGCTATAACTTAGGCTAATTACTTATTATAAGGTATTTCCATACTAATAAATGGTACTTGTAAATTAGCTGGAAATTATTGCTATTTACCCAATAACGCTGACTTACTTATGCTTTTCCTTTAGGAATCAAAATAAATGCATTCAAATTATTTTATTATTATAAATATATTAATACTTTAGGAGCATTTTGTTCATTCAAAACAAATGATGACACTTACTCTTTTGTGAAAAGATAATTTCTTAAGCATTTGCCCAGAATTTATAATGATGTATAGGGTTATTACTAAGGAATTTGTGAAAAAGTAGTTAATGCTGGATATCTATCATCTAAGAGAACGCGATCAATAAATAATTGGGATTCAACATTTTCTGATGCTGTTTATGAATCACTTAAAGTTGTTGATGATGATAACAAATTTTGTTATGGAGTCAGAGTTTTAAGGGCGGTACATAACTATAAGTAATGTTTGTTCAGCAATGATTGTGTTAGTGTAGCATCAGCTGCTAATTAATAAGAATATGATAGCAATCTCACTGTCACTGGATGTTATTATAATACAGGAAAATGCAATTCTGCAGTCTCTATTTGATACTGATACAATTGAAACAAGAATAGGATATTGTGAAATAAAGGCTGATAGTCTTCTCGTTTCACCATCTAAATCTTTTTTAAACATATTTTTAAAATCTAATTAAATAATCTAATCCTGTATTAATTGTAGGTTTACTAAAATTATAAATTAAATATAATATTAAACATAGTTTTAGGCATCATATTTCCAAATAAGAATTTGTTTCAATATATTCCTAATACCATCTATTTTTAGAATGAGATTATTTCATTATTATTATTTTTATTAGTATTAAATCTAATTTATTTTCTCTATTAAATGTTAATTTACCCAATCTCCAAGATAATTTAACTTAGGTAGACCGATTAAAATCCAAAAAAGTCT